TAGCAACCATACGCTGATCGTATCGGGCGGACCTGTTCTGAACAAATGACGAAGCACGGCAGCGTGTGTTCGGCTTGTCAGCGGTGAGGCCCTTCCCGCGCGACGTATTATTTCGGATCGGGTCAGTCAGCAAGCATTTCGGATACATGAAGATTAATCTGCGCTTGGGTATGTCGGAATGGTCGGGCGGACAGGGCTGCTCATATTTTCGGATCAGAGCCATCTGCGTACTTGTTATGTGTTGTCATACTGGGCGACATGAGCGTTAAGGAAGATAGATATGCGTAGCATGTCTGTTCAGTTTGGTGGTGAACTTTGAAATGTGGATTGATCCTTAGACCGGAAAAACCTGATCGCATTATGGAAAAAACTACTGAAGTCTTTCTTTCAGGCCCATTAGTGTTCTTTTTTATATTTATTTCTTGACATTTCAAATTACATGTAAGCTGAAATTTCGAGAAATGTAACTTGAAATTTCATTTTAATGATCTTGGTTTTTCAAGATTATATGATGGCATCTTAATTAAAATATTTTAAATTGGATCTAAAAATCTTGATAATGAAACTCACTATCTTGAATTTTAACACAGCATTTTAAAATATCAATTAGACTGGTATTTTCAAATGTCAAGAAAGAAACAAAACAATATTGTCAATAAAAGTCATCCGTAAAAAACAAGATGATGTCATTTTTCTCTTCGGTCTGGAGTCAGAGTTAAATAAATAAATACGTAGTTTGTGGTGAGAGAATAAGGAAAACATGAGTTCATAAAATCTTTGATTTGGAGCATTCCAAGATGTCACAAGCTGCCTTAGCCGGCCCTGTCGTACTTTATTGGTGAATAGTGGATACGGTTTCACCTATGTTCAAGCTATATCACCTCACCACCAACTCTTTACATCACTTCACCATGAACGTGTTTTCAAAATAACAAAACAATATGGACTTACTCAGTACACTTGTTCTGTAACGGTTTGGAGGTCAGTTTTTTTAGGACACTGCCAATACATTCATCAGTTAAGCCTATTTGTTACCGCTTCAGTCAAACAGTAAACAGTCACGTGGTTGTCACGCACGTGTTCATTAATTAATAACGGTATTTGGCTATGAGATGTTTAAACGGTATGTTCTCATTTCGCCTACATCCCATTTCGCCTACAGTCTTAAAACAACATGTCATGGTCTGTTGACTGTTGATTACGCAATGGTGAACCAGTGGCACCCCTATGATCTAAAAATGGACTCTTCTAGTTGAAGTAGTTGAAGGACAAAAAGGATTTATTTATTTCTGTTACTTGCCATTTTCTGATCACAATGAAATGATAATTTATTTATCTTATATCACATCATATCAACACATCATTTTCTAGTTGAAGTTGTTGAAGGACAAAAAGAAAGGTTTTTTAAAGAATTTATTTCGGTTATTTGTCTTACTTATTTATTCTGTTATTTGTCATTTTCCGATCACAATCGTGACATTGTCCATTCTCACTTCAACTTGATAAGGTGACCAGCTGCGTCGAGGAATTGAAGGGGTGATCTTCTCCCAGAAGCAAGTTGCTCTCTAAGTCTGTCCAAGCGACTCTCCAGGTTTCGGTAGATCCTTGATTTGGGGCGGACAGCTGCTCCATGATCGATCTGTCTGCGTGCCAGTCTGTTCGCTGTTTCCAATTTCTTTATAGCAATGACGAATTCATATATGTTCGGGTGGTGCTTTCTGACGAGTTTCTTGAAGCCGTTGTGAAAACCCTCCAAATGATTGTTGGTTCTGGGTCCTGAATTTTCATGCTGGTTCCAGATACGAGGCGGGAATCTTGCGTCGTAGTCTACCCATGTAGAGGTCATGTAGTCGTTGAAGGCAGCAATACCCTCAACATCTGGAGACGCAGTCAATGTATCCATCCACGCATCATGGACCTGATCCACCGGGAGGAGGGGAAGAGAAGCAGCACGTCGCACATGGGAGTTGAAAGTTGGATTGTTCCTGTAGTCGTTGACTAGGCCTTTCTCGGAAACTTGTCTCCAAACAGCTTGTGTATAATGGAAGAAGCATCCACGGATATCAGCACCTGGGAACACTGTTTCGATGGCACCAATGGCAGCAGCTTCGTAGTCTGTTTAATTATTTTTAAAAACACAATCATGCGCAAGTCTTGAGGTTGTCACTTGTGACAACAGATCTTATCCTCTTTACTCAACTACATATCCTTATAACAACTTAGTATTTCACAGTGAGAAATTAACTACATCTCATCATCGCATGCATTAATCCCTGTCATTTTATTTTAACCCTGTTTTAACTTCTCAGTGGATGCACTAATCCTGTTTACTCAACTACATATCCTTATAACAACAGTCGATCAACACTCAGTCAGTCAGGTTCATTATAAGAGTAGGGGTGCATTCTCTAATCCCAATTCGCCTACATTGTTTTTGTAGGCGAATTGAGATGTAGGCGAATAGAGACTAAACCGTTTAAACTTGGCAAATAATACTATCTAACGGACACGAGAGTGCACAGGAGCCATGCCTGTCGGTCACTTTCATTTGAAAAAAAAAGACCACAATGTGGACGATTTTATGTGCGTTTCACGATAGTGAATGAAGAGGAGTACAATCTACATTATACAGCGACAGAGATTCCGAATTCATATTTTAATAATTATGTGTAACATTTCATTGTAATAAATCAAAATTTATATTCGCTAACTTGCATAATTTACAAAACTTTTTTACTCCCGTCCTCATCAAAATCTGTACAATATGGAACACGCTTTTATGGACGTCCTCATCAAAATGTTTGTGGATGATTTTTTTCAGGTTTTCTAAATGTATAAAATATAAATATAACTCTCTTGGGTTCAGGGGCAGCTGGGTAGCCTAGTGGTTAACGCGTCTGCTTGTCACGCTGAAGACCCAGGTTCGATTCCCTACATGGGTACAATGTGTGAAGTCCATTTCTGGTGTCCACTGCGTCATATATTGCTGGAACATTGCTAAAAGTCTCATAAAAACAAATGTTATGTAGCATTGGGTATTATTAAAGTAATGAGTAAATATTACTTTCAACATTCCATCCTACACAAAATGCTGATTCAGGTGACTTCTTATTTGCATCTGACTGGCCAATCACACACCAACACATCCGTTGTGTTTGTGCATCATATGAGCTATATGCTGAATGATTGTACAAGGGTTTTTCCAAAAGTATCATGGCTTACTTACACAATACAATCATACCTTATGTTTAATGCAATCTTAAGGTCAGAAGTAAATTTAACTTAATCTGAAGTTACATGTTTATCACAAAACAACCATACCTTGATCTTAATTTGGAGTGTCAACCGAAGAGGAATGGTTGTGATCTTAAGGATGTGTATCACATGTGAAGCCATTATATATACTGATATGCTGTTATGAACACGACAAACCCGAGAAGATCCAGGTTAGAATATTGATCTTCAGTAACCCATGCTTGTCGTAAGAGGTGACTAACAGGATCGGGTGGTCAGGCTCGCTGACTTTGTTGACACATGTCATCATATCCCAAATGCATGGATCGATGCTGATGCTGTTGATCACTAGAGTGTCTGGTCCAGACTTGATTATATACAGACTGCCACCATATACCTGGAATATTGCTGGGTGTGGTGTAAAACATTAATTCATAATGGCCTAATCTGTTTTTATGTGTAACTATGACTGTATGAGAATTTCTCAATGAAAATATATTTGTCATCACATCTGGTCAGTATAGACGAAAGCCTTACAAATTCAGATGACTGACTGACTGACATGTGGTTAAAGCATTGCTTGTCACACCGAAGACCAAGGTTTGATTCCCGATTGTAGTAAAAAAAGTCCTCGGTAAAAAAGCACCGGAAAAAAAACTCCTATCGAAATTAAAACCTATTTATTCATCAACTTTGATTACAAATATGACAACAGACACATAAATTGTTCTTTTATCTTTTCCGAATGACACTTATAAAAACATGACTGACTGACTGAGTGTGGTTTTACACCGCTTTTAGCAATATTCCAGCAATATCACAGCAGGGGACACCAGAAATGGGCTTCACTCATTGTACCCATGTGGGGATTCGAACCCGGGTCTTCGGCGTGACGAGCCAACGCTTTAACCACTAGACTACCCCACCGCCCCCCAAATTCAGATGAGGAGCTTTAGACAATGGTCCACCATCTCTCTATATTTACTGTTAGTCTAGCTGTGTACATAACAAGTTTGTCTAGTGTTAAGGTATGGTTGGGTTATGGAAAACGTGCATGTTCTACTGTAAGTGGTTGACACAGCACTATCACCGTCAACTGGTAACTCGACAAGATATGTCCCCCCCTTCCGAACTGAGAGGACAGGAACAACCATGTTTAACCTACTTATTAAAATCTTGAACATCACCCTGTATCAACAAGCATGTCGCCTACCTCTAAGTTTACTCTAACTGAACACTGACAACACAAACAGGTGACAACACTCACATAGCATGTCTCCTACAACACATAGTGAGGCTGCCTCACTGGCATACCTTTGTGGTCGTGTGTGGTCCTGTGCATAGAGCTCAGGTCACACAATCAGTTGAAGTTAAGCAACGTTCAGGTCGGACAGACCTTGGATGGGTGACCGAGTTTGGCAGCTCGACACCTGAGAGTTTCTAGGACTTCAGTCCTGTCCCACAACCAAGCACATGTGATACATGTGGTCTCACCATAGGCATATGAGTTTGTTCAAACTTGCCTCTGTTCACCCAGCAGAAAATGGGTACCCAGTGGGATAAGTCATGAGACTATTAACCTTCTTGCGCTTCACAAGCAGCTTGGGTTATACGGGGTAATAATCATGAGATTATGCGCTTTGAGGGTCCTTATGTTTGGAAATAGCGCGCCATAGATTATAGAAATACACTATTATTATTTTTATTATGTCGACCATGCGGAAAATATGTCGAGGTCTTTCATCCACATATCAATAAGACACAAATGAAAACTGTAATAAACTTTATTCATATTTATAAATCTTAAAACAAGTGCACTTGAGGGTGAGGTCAGTTCTCCAGATCTTCAATCATGTCCCCATTACTGACCGTGGGGGTTAAAGTCCTCTGCGGCACATCTATCCGCCATCGATCTCTGTAACTGTGTTCATGATGAAGCTTGCCCTGCACTGAGCTAGAAATTCCCGAGGAAGAGGACAGATCAGAGTTAATCAACACCCAGCCTCGGTTTTTCAGCACCTCACAAAACCTTAACCTCACACTAGACGAATTTAGTTCAACTTCGATAAATTCATTTCCATTTTTTTCTCGCAACTTTTCTTTCGCCTCCTCACCAATCAGCTGCTCGGGAAGAGTGAGAATAACATCCTTACGTCCAGACAACACTGTTTTAATGCGAGAATTGTTTGTTGGCATGGTGGCAGATAGTCCAGTCCTCATTTCAATTATTTCTAAATAGTGTGACTCCAGTTTCTCAGATTTGTCTTCAAGAGCATGGTTTATTGCATCAATCAATGGACTTATCTGATAAAAATCAGCCTCAACTAGAAGCAGATCATAATCAGTAAATTGGGTAGGTAATGCTAGTCGTGTAGATCGTAAAAAATTTAATATATGTCGAAATATCTGCCCATCTCTGTCAATAAACAAGTGTCCATTCTGGTCTTGTGTCATTGGGAACTTTCCACTGATCATGGCACCCAGCATGGAGTCGGGGTATTTACTGAGGGTTGATTTAGTCGTGGTGTAGAGGACGCCCCCGACGTTCAAGGTTATCACAGAGTCACACATCATTATGTAGTCAAATTATCACATTAGGATCAGTAGGGCATTTCCCATGGTTGTTTCCAAGAACAGAGTTGGGACATCATGGTGGTCCTGTAGTCCACCTGAAACAAAATAGCACAAGTGAGTTGATTTCATGAATAGTTTTAAGTTTAGCTTTGGAAAAATTATGGTAACTGGTAACAAAATAAAATGTAAATTGGTATCTCAGTTCCATTTGTAATATAACCTACTGTGTAACTTACTTTGGAGATGCTACTGTGTAACTTAATTTGGAGAAAAGGGGCGGTGGGGTAGCCTAGTGGTTAAAGTGTTGGCTCGTCACGCCGAAGACCCAGGTTCGATTCCCCACATGGGCACAATGTGTGAAGCCTATTTCTGGTGTCCCCCGCCGTGATGTTGCTGGAATATTGCTAAAAGCGGCGTAAAACTAAACTCAGGTAATTTGGAGATGGAGGTGGCGGACATGGTGAATTAAAGAAATGTGTTAGAGATTCAGTCTTTTCAACTTTCGATTTTAGTGTTGACTCGGGTGGTCAGGTTCGCTGACTTGGTTGAAACGTCATTGTATCCCATTTACATACATTGATGTTCATGGTGTTGATCACTGGATTGTCTGGTCCAGACACAATTAATTACAGACCGCTGCCACAATGTGGCAAGTCTAGATTTCCACAGCTTCTGAAAATGAAGAAAGTCTCAGGGCTCCTTTTCATTATATTTTCTTTTCTTTTCACTATGAACATTTTTTTGCTGTAAAATATGTTCATTTCAGAGACTATTTGTCCATACACAACTCAAACGTAGTTTATAGGACGTTATATTGCCAGCCTGATTCCTCAACATTAGTAAATGGGCGTCCTCTGAACCCTAGATTTGTAGATCAAATCAAAACCAAACAAACCGTGAATGCTTGCTCCCGAAAGTATGAACAGTTACCAACCTGAAGTTTCATAGGTCAGTTAATAAAATAGCATTTCTTGCATCACAATCACTTCCCCATTAAAACCTGAGACAACATAAATACATAATGAATGTATCAGTGGATTTTCACATGATCAGTGGATAATATTCAGGAATGCAAGGGCAGTCTATTGGGTATAACCCACCCTTACCCTAACAAAATTAATCCTAATGATTGTGGAGGCACTAGAGGTCGGTGAAGCGACATAAAATAATTGGTTCTCTATCTATATTTCTTATAATACTATTTATTGGGGTGAAAATATTCTATAATCGCAAAGAGTCCTGTTTGAATTTTAACACCGCTTTAGCTCTCCATAGGGTCTATCACAAGGTGATCACCGTCACCACCATCCCCGAACAATTCTAACTTTGTCTTCTGTTACATCAACCCTTCGTTTTTATTTATTATTGTTTACACAAGACTCACCGGCTCAATAACCTTGCTCCACTCAGTTGGCACACCTAAGTAGAGAATAAACACATTCCATACATATTCATCCAAGTATGTGGAGCATACACGCCTCGAGCATTCATTCTGCTCCTGACGTTTTGATTGTGCTCAACGTGTTGCCAAATTTTACGGAAGTAGATGGCGGTGCGCTCGTACTCCATACAGTGGCAAGTCTGCACGGTCGTGATAGGAGCTTTCGCAACACCAATATCTTGTCGTTTAAAAGGGAAACAGGCCATTGGTCTTTACATTTTGATCTGAATACCAGTGATTTTGTGTTATACAACAAACGTCTCGACAAATATAATTTTCTGTGATTGTAATTATATGAAAAGAACATCTAGAACAAAGTTAGTATGTGTCCAGTAGAAAACAATATTTCGGTGTGATCAAGCATAGGAATATGTCTAAAATGTGTCACTGTGGAAAACTTTGGTAGAAATCAACCTGCACCGTTTAAAATGTATTTAGATTCTTAAAACAAACAAAATTACTTTCTAAACACTTTAGCACTGTTAAATTCCTTAGGGTCTAAATGCGCGACTGACACCCCACACGGTGTCCTCCCATTTGTGAGAACTCCCAGTTGTGAGACACATTAATTAATGGTTCAGTGCACATAGGTGGTGTTTCCACATCCCTACAATGAAAGTGGGATCAGCCCAGCCCAGTACCCACAGGAGGCATAGTTCCTTGATGAGTTGATTAATGAAATAGATTATCAAAGATTATATTTACACAGAAGAAATAGTTCATTTAATATTTTATTTATTCAGAAGAATGTGTAATTATGATAACACATTTTTATTCACTATTTTGAAGTTTGAAAGACATTTTGGTTTAAACCTTTTTTGCTATTATTTATGAAAACGAATTTGGATTGGTGAAGTATTACTGCTTATGTTAACACCGCTAAGTAGTCATAATTAGAGACTTACAGTTGTGTGTGTCTAACAAGCTATTGTAGGAATATAAATCAATCACGAGAAGGTTGTTGAGTTAATTTCAGTATTTCCCTGTGAAAATTTGAAGGTTGTGTCTTGATGATATAATCATGGACGGATTCAACTATTTACTGGTTTACACAAGGAGTAAATTCTTTGCTTCCGTTCAAAAAATTATCCAGGTTATAACTGGTAGTTGATATCCACAAGAGCAACATGCACTGTCTATTAAATGTCTGTTATACTTATCGGCGTTTAGGTCGCTAGATCCGAGCCTGAGGCAGCAGTGAACGATTTGACAAAAACAAGAGCCATAATTCAGATCAATATAAATCTTGTTTTCGGTTTTTGTAATTAGGTTTTAAAATTCTTTGAGACTGCATGACTCTTTGGAATTTGGTAGGGCATTCCATAAATTTATTGTGTCGGGTAGAAAGGGTTTGGCATAAGGCGCATTTCGACTGTAAATTTCGGAGACGGAGTAAATCTGAGTAGGTAAATTAATTTCTCTTTGATCACGAAGTTACCTACACAAAGTGTTTAATTATTAAAGACATTTACCTGAGTATGTTAATCAATTTATCTTATAAAGTTTCATTAAGTTACCTCCACAAGATTCAGTTACATAGCAAATCAGTAATTAGCTATAGGGTGAATCCATTCTATCAGACAGAGGAGTATGGTGTGTTTTCGTTGTTAATTACCTACGCCACTGTCTCATAACTGGGAGTCTCACAACTGGGAGTTCTCACAAATGGGAGTAGACCCCCCCACACACACACACACCCACTCCCCACCCCACCCCCACAAACCACAAACCACTGTTCAAATAAATTGCACGTAATTTTGAAAAACAGGCGCTTTCTACTTCTTTTGTAGTGTTTATTCGGAATGTAGAAATAAGGCTTGCAGTATCAGAAAGTAGGGGCTCTATCGTAGTAATCAGACATTCTCTTATTGTCAGCTTAAATTTCCCTTGAAAAGTAAGCTACGATCGACACGCTTATGAACCCGATACGTTTTACCTCGGTGGGATTCGAACCTGTCTCTTGTGGATTTGTAGTCCTTCGTGCTACGCCACCTTTGCTACGGGAATTTAAATGGTCCTCAGTAACTAGGGCTCTCACGAGTCCAAAATTTGGGACTCGAGTACTCGAGGTGTCAGACCCGACTCGGACCCGAGTACCCGACAATTTGGATGCTTATCTGAAACCAACATTCAGGCATACACGTAGCTGTTCCAACTTCCAATCTACGAATAATGCAACATGTATATGTGAATCCAAACGTTCCCGAATAAAGCAATTGATATTCAATGTCAATGGAAGTATCTATTACCTTTTTATTTGCAAACAGAATGTGAAGGCAACGTAAGTGTCACTGTGACCAAGTTCTACGCGATCAATTATGTGATTAATATTCATGAGCTGGGCCGGTGATACCTTATTACGCCTGTAAATGCTGTAATATGATTGGATGTGTCCGGGAAAAGAAACCAATCAATCTACTTCTCTTTTCTTTTGGTTTTAAGTTTGACTGCGCTTTCAAGATAATCTAATATTAATATGTCGTTGCAGTTATGACATATTAGCAACTTTTAAACGTTCACCTGGACGATAAGTCACATAATCAATTAACCTTAATCACGGTTAAAATGCGGCAAAACACGTTCCAAAGCTGGAAGATACATAGATAAAGCATTCATTGATTGATGCTGCATTAGATACTAGTATCTTGTAAAGATGGATCGACTATGGAACTTAAAGAATATGTAAAACAGGATTGATGTTTATTTTAGACTTTTTATAGTGAAAACGGTTTGGTTTCAAACTAAAGACTAACCATTTATTGAGTAACACTACGCAGTATTTCTTCTTCCGAAACTCTGCTGAGCGGAGATCACGTCAATGGTATTCATTGTGATTAAAATTTTCACTATTAAGGATATAGGTCTCTAAGTGTGAATGTTATTTTGAATGCGTATGTATGTGTTGATTGTTGAATATGTAACACTGAAATACGCTGGATAAGAACGACTGAACATCTATGTAGAAAACAAGTTGTTCAAACATAGGTATAGTGGGCAGGGACAGTGATACAGCCGTGAGTGGCTACGCTTGTCCACGCGTCCGTAGTTAGGGCAACGGCAGGTACTGTTTTGGGTACTGATATTTTGTTCTCCTTGCAAACTTCATACGACTTTATGAGGTAGTTGTGAATTGTCGCAGTACATGGGACCTGGTAATTTGGGTTCAATGGTTCACAGAAAGCCCTGAAACCCTCCCCTTTAACAAGACTTAATGGTCGCATATCCTTAACGCGCATAAGCATTGCTTTTTTGCGTAATACCTTCATACCATTTCCTGTCAACAGGCTTGCGACTTTTGCTATCAAACTTACCAAACTGCCCCAGCGTCGCTTGTTGAGCTGTTTTTCTGTCTACAGTGCTTATTGTGGGTGCTTACAGGACAAATGCTTGAGTAACTAAGGGAAACGCCACAAAGACGGCATTTCGTATTTTGGCCACTAAATCAAGATAAAAATGCGTCCAGACATTGGATTTTTTTCTCACGATCATCCATCTTGATTGCATGAGATGTTTAGAGGTATCTCCCCTGCGAGTCCTCGAGTCCATTCAATTGGACTCGAGTCCTGCTTTACCCGACTCGGCCCCGAGTACCCGAGTACTCGTGAGAGCCCTATCAGTAACCCATGCTTGTCATAAGTGGCGTTAACGGGATCAGGGGGTGTGGCCACAGGCCCTCGTGTCTTTGCGAGGATTTAAGATGTTAAGAAAAAATTGAAAAAAATTGAGATGACCCCGACTCGAAATGCTTCACAGTACAATACATTATGACAAGGCCGGACACTTCGGTGTACCCTACCCGCCTGCTTTGCCGATCGCTACGCTACAATCGCATATAATCGATTAAAACTTAATGTAAACATAATCATGGATGATTGGCCTATCGAGCACCACTCATGGCACCTATCAATTCTTTATTGTTATTTCTGCAGGTCGATTGAAACCCGATTTTGACCCTCCACTAAACGATCTTGACACAAATGGATGACGATGTGTCCGCACACAATGGGGGTGTGGTCGAAGCAAGCCCTCTGATTGGTCAACGCTTGCACATCTGCACAGTTTTTATAAATTCGCAGGACTTTTTACTTTCATCGATTGCTTAATGTAAGAATATATTTCGAGCAATGGCTTCTCAAAAGAAAGCATCAGTTGTAAATGTCTCCTAAACAAGCATTAACCAATCAGAGAGCTTGCTTTGACCACACCCGTTGTGTGCGGATATATAGTCGTCCATTTGTGTTACGTTACTGATTATATATGCATGTTTCATTTCTATGCTTCAAGAGACTCAAAAAATGTCTGTAACATGTTGCTGCAGCACTGTACGTGTGTGATGTATAATCACCACCATGGTTGTCAAGGCATTGAAGAGGATTGATTGAGAAAATGTTCCTCGAAACAAGCCGTTTGGACACAAAACGTCTTTGGGTGAATGAGTGAGTTTAGTTCTACGCTACACTCAGCAGTATTCCAGCTGTATGGATGCGGTGTGTAAATAATCGAGTCTGGACCAGACAATCCGGTGATCAACAGAATGAGCGTCGATCTGCAGCTGGGATACGATGAAATATGTCACTGCCAAGTCAGCGAACCTCTTACGAAAAGCATGGGTTACTGAAGGTCAATTCTAACCCGGATCCAGGGGCGTAGCTACCATTATAAAAAACACATGATTACACATGATTTTTGCTAAAAAGTTTGGGCACGCCCTCAATACTGTCTAAACATAAAGCTTTGCAACCTATCGGGCTTACACGGACAAATTGGCTTGCTAGGCGCCTGGGATCTTCACGGGAGCAAAACGTCCATGGAGACACTGGTGGCCCGGTCGTCTGAAGAGGGAAATTCGCTGTGCAGAGTTGCCTCCCTTGAAACCTATGGTTGTTGGTTTGAATCCGGGTTCGCTCTGCGGTTTCTGGGTTTGTCAGCACTAAGCCAGGCTCCTGCGGTTCACGTGGTAAACTTCTGATACCTACACTACTTCGGGCCCCCCTTCCCACTTTAAACTGACATCCTATGACGCACATAAAAAGCTGTTCAAGGCGGCGTCAGCCCAATAGCTCACTCTCGTATTAAGTGGGGCGGTGGGGTAGCCTAGTGGTTAAAGCGT